GAGTCTTGAATAATACATGCACCAAAGGATTTTATTTCTTTTTCCATGTTTGTCCTTGCTTGTATGCATTTAATTATATCTTCCATCCTTTTTTTTTTTTTGATTAAGATTGTCTGCTTCTGATTTAAGATAAGGCAATATACTTGAGGGTCTTATAATAGAACTTCTGACAAAACTTGCTAGTGGTAATAGTATATATACATATCTATCTCCACTTATATGCAGTCTGTAGTTTATATTATTACAAACAAACAAACAAACAAACGAATTGTCATTCAGCAGAATTGTGTCCACCAGAGTATATTAACATAGATTTTTTTGAGCTTCTGCATCTTCAACAGATTCCTTTGAGAGTTTATAGGCACTGCTTAGCATAGCCCTTCATTTCACCCACTTTTTGACTAGTTGTACCCTTTATTTCTCTGAGTCTACAAACACCAATTGCTTCTAAAGACTGATTTTTGATTTGGGTCATGAAGGCACTACATAACAGATCCCAGCTTTCAGCTGGCTTTAAACAGTGCTGCAATGGCCCTATGGCATTGCATAGGTCTAGGTAGAGCTCTGATCCCAAACACAATGCTGCAGTGTCAATGCCTCAGAGAAAAGCAAATTCTCTTAGGTGTGACTTCATACTGATGCAGTGACACTATTTCCTACTATGAATTTACCTTGGCGGCTGCTAGCAGAGGGATCTCTGCAACACGCACCGCTGCACAATGTAAATATGCCCTCCGGTTTGTGTGTGTACATCAAATTTTTAGTCTATAATACCAATTCCAAATATTGGCATGCATGGTTGTGGTGTCTGTGTTTACAAACTGTAAAGAGGCTTAAGTGTTTATCCCCTTTACACACAGAGATATCCCGGACGTGTTCAGACAACATGGAAACCCGACTCTGGCCCCCACATTCGTACCTCTCATGGTACAGGGTGCACACTGTTTTTCCTTTACTAACTCTGCACAGGATGTTTACTAGCTTTCTATAAGGAGAATGTCTTAATACAGTACTCCAAGTTGTTCTCTGATGGATCTGCTTCCCAGAGGATAATGGTTAAATAATATGAGAGATATTATACTCAGTATCTTTTACTTCCTAATCATATCAGTATTAACCAGCCTCTTATGTTGCAGTTAGTCAGTCTCTAGTGCCTGATTTAAAATCTTATGCTTTGCTTGGGTTCTTCTAAATGACACTTCAAACTTTGAAATGAACAGATTAGTAACAGATCTTAATATCAAGTTACCTATTACTTGTTTTGAAGCCAAACATAGAGATTGCAATGGAGGTTAAAGAATTATGTGTTGCTCCTCTACAATGCACACACTAAAAGACAGAAGGAGAACTACTCATGTTAATGAAATGGCTTAAAATCTCAGTTACAATGAGATTTGATTTTCAATTAATGAGTTCTATCTAAGCACTTGGAAGTAAAGGAATGGATCAATGGCTCTGTTTGACCAGAAAAGAACATAAAAGAAGTTGTATCCCTGTTTTAGTCTTTAACTATAGCTTTACTTTAGATAGACTATATTGTGTCATACTATGAAATACTTACTGCAGCTGATTGAAATGTAGTTCATCTTCACATAAGTAAGAGAACACCTATAATGTTAATGAACAACTTTTAAGCTGAAATTGATCAGTTGCCTCACTTTTCCATAGAAGCTTTAAGATAAAAATAATGCATTTGAATTTGCACAGGTCAAAATTCAGGGACAATGAGAATGGTACTTCAGCTGAATTCCATGCCAAGTGTTCCAGCATCTCTCGGGAGCTTAAACATGGCTTCAGAAGCCAGAAGAAGAAATTTCAGAAGAAATGACCAGCCAGAGAAAAGTCAAGCAGGCAGTGCCTTGCTAACTTGCATTTTAGCCCTCACACAGAGGAAGTGCTGTAATTCCTGTCAATTACACGTTTTCTTCCTTCTCTTGAAATGAATACTCCCTACTCCAGTACGGCACCAGGTGGACTAGACAACGTTTTGCATTTCCTTATAAGTTCATCCTTCTGTCTTTTTTAACTATAAATGGAGACACTGGTTTCAGTCATTATCACCCAAAAGTTAACCAAGTTTGCTATCACATTTTATTTGCATTCTACAGTGGGTATCTATGAAGATAAGATATTATGTTCTCATTTTATTTTATAGAGAAGGAGATTCAGAAATCATGAGTAAGATGTGTAAATAGCATCACAACCATGTCAAATTTGATCATGTAAGGTCAAAAAGAATGGATCTGAAAATGCTAACAACTCTTTTACTGAAATATTTCACTCAATTTAATATCATGGACACAGAGAGTAGGAATATGATCCTATGAAAAAGAAAGAGAAACTAAAGAAAGAAATTACAGGGTTTTCAGATCAAATGCAATGGCAAAATCTTCTGTCTTTTCTGTTAAAAAAAAAAAAGTAGGTACATCAACAAATTCTTCTAACATATTATTATTTCCATTTATGCAGTCAATTGTATGGATTTGATCATAAGGAGGTACAGAAATCAGACATGTTACTCCCAACTAATTTTTTAATATACTCTTCCATGTCACCTGTGTATGTCTATTGAGTGAATAAAGGTGAAATACAATTTGAAAAGGAATTATGTCTTTGAAAAATTAATAATGCTACTAAATCAATTTATCATAAATATTTGAGATTATTTTTGCAAGTCTCATACATTTTAACACATTTTATAATAATTTCTGAGAAGGAATAGCACAAGACAAGAAATTTAATATGGCAGAGGTCATATGTCATAATCAATGAATTAACCACCTAGTAGTGTCAGGATAAATGATTCATGACATATATGAGATTTGAAAATTTCAGTCAAAAAAAAAGATATAGGAAATCACTTCTGATGGTGCCTTAAAGCTCAGTTAAAGGGGTTAAACTGAACTGTAAACCAGTTTCAGCCTAATTATGGTGACCAGACTGGGACGTCTCAGAGATAACAGTGCTTCCCTGAACATGCAGGAAATGTACATGAAACCACAGCATAGCAACTGTTGATTTTAATTGATTTTTAGTGGTAAGTAATAAAATGATTCATAAAGTATATATTTCTTCTCACTAACATTATCTCTTAATAAGCTTATGTGTGTTACCCACATGAGTTTACCATACTATTTTATCATTACTTTAATTACATACCATTTAAATCCATTAATTTTGCTATTTTTTCTGGATCTTCATCCTGGAACTTTGATACTAACCATTAGAGACAATGATACTTCCTTAAATTTTCACTGCATGTATTTCTGAATGTACAAGTATCTTGTAGGCATCTTCTTTTCCTTGTTAAATAGTAAATTCTAAGAGGGCTAAGTAAATTCTACAGACTTACACATCAATGAAGTTGCCAAAGGTATAACTCATGACTGAAACTGAACGATTCTTTTCCTCAAAACTTCCATTTCAATTTTGTTATGTCAGTTTTATTTAAATAGTTGTGCTCTTAAAATGTTCAGGACAAGCAACATATTTCTTGCTTTTGTTCGCTGCTTAGGTAAAAATTTTGCCTTTTATTTCCCTCTTAGTGCTAAAGTTACTTCTTCAAATCTAACAGAAAGTAGATTTTTATTAGGAAGAAACTCCTTTCTGTGAGGAGTGGGAACAGGTTGCCCAGAGAAGTTGTGGATGCTCCATTCCCTGAAAGTGTCCAAGACCAGGTTTGATGGGGCTCTGAGCAAGCTGGTCTAGTGGAAAGTGTCCCTGTCCATGGCAGGGGGTTGGAACTGGGTGATCTTTAAGGTCCCTTCCAACACAAACCATTCTACAATTCCATGATTACATGATAATTTCTCAAAAAACATAATAGAAAATAATATTTGAGAGAATTTTAAATGGACATTTATTCTATTCTCTTGCCCCAGAGCACTATCAACAGCACTTAGACCATTCTCATGTAGGTGTTTTACTAAGCTAGTGATGGAAATTGGACAGTATTCCTAGGCAACCTAAATGAGTATTTCACTACCTTTTCAATGCCCATCTAACATCCCTCCATAACAGCTAAACTTCATTCCATTTTCAATGTTGTTATGACTACAAAGAATATAGAAACTATACCAATACCTTCTTCCTTGCAGGAACTGTTTGAACCCATGTGGGATTATGGGATCTGCTCTCCTAGTGAAAGACTGTGTTTCTCCACACCCCAAGGTAAAACACTATAAAAGGTTAATTTCCCAAAGTGCTACAGCTGTAAATAACTATTTTAACATACTCAAAAAGCATTTTTCACTCCCTCATTGCTCCTAACATAATGAATATTCCAGAAAATATTCTTGCACATCTGTCCTTTAATATCTCTAGGGCTAGAAATTACATGGATTTTTTTTAATCATAGGTAGAATCCAACTAATTTTTAATGGTGAAATCACTTTAGAAGGAAAACAGCTGAAATAACCCTAAAATTGCCCATATAAGAAGAGGAGACCCTCAAGGAAAAGGCCATATTACTGACTTGCCAGCACAGAAGGGTTCTCATGGTGTACACCTGTGTTGTGCTTGGCCAGCGGGCTAACTGCTGACTTTAAATAGCATTTGATGTCTTCATTGTCACAAACAAAGTAGCTACATAGGCAGGTGCAAACTCGTTTAAAAAATTTGTATCAGGTGGAACTTCTTTGGAGTTTTTTGAGAAGCTAATTATCATCACTTGCCCTAACAAAAAAAAAAAAAAAAAAAGCAATTCACTCTAACTTTCTGCTCAAAAGTCTCTTAAATTGTGTTTATCCCACAATAAGCAAAAATTCTTCTTGCTCACTTCATGACATTTCATGAAAAATGTGGAAAGAAGACTCCTCCTAGAGTGTAAATAGCTGAGGGAAAGTCAGAGCATCCTCTATTTACCTCTGCACCTGCAAAAGAAAATGAAAATGTCTGAAGCCCCACCTTTTAAGAGCCTTGTGAAACAATCTGGGAACTGAGCCAACTTCTACTCTCTCACTATATAAGAGTTGGGAGCAGACAGGTATTTCCTCAGAGGCAGGTTGTTTGGTGGTTCCTACCGGACCTCCAGAAGATGGGTAAAGGTGGTGGGACACAAATACCACTATGGATATCAATACTAGCCCTGGTCTTCATACAGATCAAAGGTAGGAAGATTCACTTGCTTGGCATTTTTACTGTTTTAAAGAATTTATAACTTGCTTTGGAGTTTGAAGCTTTTTTTCCCCTGGCTTTGTGAAGTTAATGAAGCTCTTACCTTTATGCAAGATTTTATTTTCTGCTGAAAATACTTTCTTTCCTAAGAAGAGAAAATTAACTCTTTTGTAACTGTCATCCTGTTTTTCTCCAGCTGAAATCTGGAACAGCTCCACTGCATTGAGTGGAACTTTCTCTGAACTTATAAGTCTACAAAAATGCCTCAAGATTTGCATTTAGCTTTTAATATCCACTTTAAGGTGGTATAGCATTTCTAAATGTACAAACCAAAAGGCGCAAATGTATTTCTAGAAAGGAAAAAATCAGTGGAGGAGTATGTCTGCATGAATTATTAAAGACTATTTATCATGTGATGATAAAGTATTGAAGAAAGGGAGGATTTTGCTTTAAAATCATCAGGCAATAGGTTTTAAAAATTTATTTACTCTTGCTTCTGAGGTTGCATAAAAGCTTAGCACACAGAGTTGGTTTGCAATGGGCTGAAAACAAATGGAACTGCTATAAATATTCTATTCACTTAATAGTCACAGATAGATGGAGACCCCTTTAATTATTTTTTTTCTTTTTTCACCTGATAATTTCCCTTTAAGTTTAATGTAACAACAACGTTAGTTTTAAATGCATTTTGATTTCTCGTGCAGATCCCATTGTATGATTTCATAATTTTCCTGCTCCTAGGTAGTTCCACAGTAACTTATGTTAAGAAGTGGTAGTGTCAAAGAATAGCCTATGACAGGACTAGCTGTAGCCTTAGCAAAACATGGGAGCAGGGATCTGCACAGTGCATGTGGCATGAGACAGAGCAGAGTCACACAGTTCATGAAGAGAGAAGCAGAAAACTCTTTGAGGCTGGGCACTGAAGGAGGCCAGAAGCACTGAATGGTTCCTACCCTACAAAGGGACACACGTCTTCTAACCCCAGCCCTTTCCCCAGGAGAGGACTTGCAGAGTTCCCACAGCTCTGCTTTCAGCCTTAGCCCCTTTAGTGGTCCTATCACAGCCTGCCCTGGTGAGGTGCAGCAGGGGGTGAGCCTCCCCTTGCACTTGGCCAGAATAGTCTTCACCTCAGCCTGCCCTCTGATGAACTCCCACTAAACAGTGAGAGCACTGAAAGCCCGTCTGGATAATGCATACATTCTAATTCTGATGTTGCACTGGAATGGAATGAAAAATGGTTTCTTTGCTTTGGGCCAAAATCAACAGGCACAAATGTACCTATTGGAAAGACCTATTTCCTTCTGTATGGTGTGGCTTTTGCATTTATTTTCCTTCTGTGGCTTATTACAATGAATGCTTGAAACTAGAAAATACAGAGCAACTTTGGCTTTGACAAAGATCAGTCCTCTAACCCTGAAGTGAATTCTTCATGTACAAAAGGGACTTATTTGAAAGCCATCTAGCTGGAAAAATAGGTTTTACTAATGCTTAAAGTACAGAGTGATTACAAAACCTTAGAAATTTAGGTCTTTTCTCTGAAAAACTTGTAAGGGAATCCAGGGGTATACTGTGACAGAACAAGGACCTGCTCAAATCACCACAGGCATGTTTTTGATGGCTTCCCTGCAGTAATTTATTACCCAAAAAGTTAAAAAAGGAAAAGGCTGAAGGAGTGGTGTTTGGCCATCATTGCATGTAGCATACGTCCTGATGCATTTCTGGCCTCTTGTACATAAACCTGTCTTTGATTTTTGATATATGGAGTGCTGCATATTTAAACAGATATAATTGAGACATTATGAGGGGATTCAAGAAAATTAGACATTCACATTTCTTTTACTATTCTTCTTGATCCAGTTCAAGCCCAGGGTGGTGGGCTTGAACAAAATCAGAGTATGTTTTTCCATCTCTCCTGCAGCAACAAAAGTGTAGGTATTTTTATGCTGATCTCTTTGTAAGGTTTTTTCTGAATAAAGGTGATAAACTGAAAGATTACAAGAATATTTTGATTCCTAGCCACACACATACCACACACAATAAAAGAGAAGCCCTCTGTAAAATATATCCAGTTTTCAGACAATCTCTGATTGCTCTAAGCTTGGGAATTTCCTCTGAGATCTGACCCAGTGGATCTGCTCTACTGATATGATACAGTTATCTAATCTTTGACTTCACAAAAGGTACATAACTTATATCTAAAAGTGTATTTTCAGAAGAGGTGTGTGTTTACATACATATCACAAAGGTACTTGATAGTAGGTAATAAAAGGCACATATTTTTACACTATGTCAAGATGACTGCATCACTCGCAAGAGAATAAGAAAGCTGTAACTACCTTAAACATTAGAATAATTAAGTACTACAAGATCCTGGGTGAAACTTAACTGGACAGTGCAAAATAAGGGTGGAAGGATCCAAAGCTGACGGGTGTATTAGTAATGACAGGCTGAAATAATTGATCATTAAGTCTGCCCTGCAAAATGTGTGCCACAGGTTGTTTAAAAATAGCTGTTGTAATCAGTATTACAATACAGTGCTCTGAGGATCATATTGCTCCTCTTGAGTTCAGAGTATCAGGGTCAGCATCAGATGGGAGTCTTGAACAAATGGTGGAAGAAAGTGCTATAGTCTGTGCAATTTAGCTCTTAGTGAAATTTATAGAAAGACAGAACACAAAGCATTGTGTAAAAACCACCAATAAAACCTTGTGGAAACTTTCCACTAGAGTGTAACTAGTAGTAGGAAATATTCACTAAAAAGACTAGGCAATCTCTCCCCATATTCTAGGACTTCAGAAAAGATTAAACCTGGCCATTTTTTCTCCTTTCTATTTTCTACCAGCTTTCAAATCGCAAGGAGTGACAATCATTCCACCTTTTCCAAACGCACTGAACGTAAAGGGTAAGTTAAGCAAATGTCATGGCTCAGATATCTGTGCCCTTGTTAATGACAAAGAGCATGGAGTGATTGAAAAAAAAATCAATGAATTGTGTAAGAACCTTTAGCATCATAAACCAAAAAATTACCAGAGAATTAATTAATCAGGTAACACAGATAATCTAAATGTGAATCCAGTGCTTTTGACTCACTGCTCTATGATGCAGCTGTAAGAAAAAAAATTAATATATATGTTTAAACACGTATAGCTATTGTACATGTTTTTCCCTGGTATTATATATATTTCCAGTAAAGAGAGGAAAATACTAATTTGCTAAAAACTGTTGAGACACCTTATCCAAGGAAGAGGGTACAATTCAAACAGGCTGAGTGTAAATGTGGAAAGGGATGGGGAAGATAATCAGGGATTTTAGAGAGTATCCTTGCAAGGAAAGGAAGACTGAAAAGAAAGAAGAACTTTCTATAATGGGCTGGACGAGGAGTAGGGAGGTGGAACCCCTTCAAGGTGAAGTGTAATTTTGGCACAAGAACAACCAGGCATACATGGGACAGGAAAATGTTTCAGAAGATGTTGACAAAAGTCTTCCAGCCACTTAGAAGTTGTGGGTATGAATGGGCTTCCCAAGCAGGAGTATCAGCTAGTTTTAAACTAGCTTTTATATGGTTTTATGGTGAAACATGAGGACTGCATAGATGGAAAGGATACATGGGATAGGGCAGTAATCAGAACTAGAGCACTAGATCTAGTGACCCCAGAGATCTCTTTTGATCCTAAGCCCTATATCCCTATGCAAAACTGATTAAGCACAAAAAGCAACTGAAATAAATAAATAATGACAAACAATTAGCTTGACAAAACAGAAAAAAGATGAGCTTTTTGGAAAGAGGCTGGTGAAAGAAGCAGGAGGGATAAAACATCTACATGGAGGGTATTACAAAAAACTACAGAAAATTCTTATTGCTTATTTTGAATCCACAGCTGGCAACCCCTATCACAATGGCCGTGTTTGCAGCACATGGGGTAACTTCCACTTCAAGACCTTTGATGGGGACATCTTTTACTTCCCTGGGGTCTGCAATTACATCTTTGCATCCAACTGCAAGTCTTCCTATGAGGACTTCAACATCCAGATTAGGCGTGCAATGATGGAAAATGCTACTGTGATCACTCACGTCATCATGAAGCTGGAAGGAGTAGTGATCGAACTGACCCCCACCTCTGTCCTGCTCGACAACAAACTGTATGTTCCTACTTTGTTCCCAGTAGGCTTTTTGAGCAAGTGTCCCTTTCCCTCATTTCATCATTGTTCCCAAGCAGTGGGAGGGCTCAGGTCCTTCCTGAGGTGGTAACAAAAACAAAGGAGGGCTTGACAGCAAGCTGAGTGTCACTTGTGCAGATTATCCCCATGGCTGTTTTGTTCAGATGAGCTGTATCCAATATGCTGTCCCACTGCTACAATAGTGTATGTATGCAATTAAGTCTATAAGCTGCATTCTTTACACCCTTGGAGATAGTAGTTTCCATTAATTTTACCACAGCAGAATCCCTGCAAGGAATTTTTGACAGCTTTTGTTCTTGCACTGAACAGTGTGCAGTAAAGTGGTGACTGCTCTTCAGCTTGTACCTGAATTAATTTAAAATTATCTGTTCTTCAGACTTGATATCTATGTAGTAATTATAGCACTGACTTTGGCATAGGGTGTGAAACCTACCCAAAAGGCCAGGTAAATATTTGGGCAGCTATCCCACAGTGAGTGTCTGTTATGTACAGTGAGCTAGTCTAAAGGTTATCTCGGGTACAGCTTCCTCAATGGCACTCATGACACAGAAAGCCTGGAGTCTATCCCTTTATTAGCAAATGCTTCAAGGAGTAAATAGCAATATCCTGAAGCACACTGGCTGCAAAACAGAGCCTCCCAGCACTTTTTTGAAAAATACAACCACAGACATATGCTAACATTTTACCCAGCAAAACACCCTTAATGGAAATGTCAAAGAAATAACAGGAAAAGCAAGGCTGATCCATTTGCACAATGAGAGGCAATGTATAGGAAATGGACAAAATATTAAAAACCTGTGTTGTCTGTGGTAGTTATTGCTCTAATTTCTTCACAGATACGTGTTGAAAATTCTCAAAGAGAATGAGAAAGGATATCATTGTGAACATTCAATGGATATTCTGTCCCTACCCCTTGCTGACTTATGATGATCTTTCCCCAGGGTCCAGATGCCCTACAGCCATATGGGAGTCTTTATAGAAAGAAGTAACAACTATTTGAAAGTTTCTGCCAAGTTGGGACTGACCTTCCTTTGGAATGGACAAGATGCCCTCCTGGTAAGAAAACATCCAAAACACGGCAAAAAGTCTGTGTTTTGAAAATAGTCTGCTTACACCTTTGCAGTATTACAGCCAGGCAGGCATTACTTACTTTTGGATTTGTGTCCATTTTTAGTGTATTGCTCTGTCTTCTCTCAATTTCCCGCTTTTTCCCCACCAAGCTCAGCTCAGAATCAATAAGCAGTACTGGTATGGGCTGTGCTCCTAACCATCAAGATGGCCATTTCTATAAACTTCCTTCCTCCTTTTGTGATTATTTTTTTTTTTTTTTTTTAAGGTGGAACTAGATAAGAAATATGCCAATCAAACTTGTGGACTTTGTGGGGACTTCAATGGAATTCCAGGCAGCAATGAATTTATTTCAGGGAGTAAGTAATAATAAGCATTATTAAGTACTGGTGCTTTTTTTTTTTCTTCTTAGAATATACTTTAATACGGGTTGTGGGTTGTACCAACTGGAAAATTGGCATTACTTCTTTATGTATTCCTGTGATGTCAGTTGTGCAAAGTCAGGACTTTGAGATGTAATTAGACTACTTCCATCATTGTTAGATATTTTAAGACCTGCCACATAAAAATTTCTACTTGTTTTCAATAGTTAGGATCCAGTTTTTAAAATATACTGTTCATATTTCCCCCTTCATATTTAGTGATACTATTTGGTAATCACTGTTCACGTCATAGCAGGTAGTGTCACAAAAGAAAATAACTCCATGCAAAATTTAGTGAGCATTATTCTAATATTTGAACTGTTTTTTACAGAGACAAAACTGACCCCCATACAGTTTGGTAATAGGCAGAAGATGGATGGACCCACAGAGCAGTGTGATGATCCTATTCCTCCTACTTCTCTGATGAACTGCTCAAGAGAATTTGTAAGAACATCTCTCTCAAAATGTGTTTTCTCACTATGAATGCATTCTGTCTTTGGAAAAAAACTTCTTAGAAGAGGGAAAAAGTAGAACATGAATATGACTCAGTTGTAGGTCTCAAAAGAAAAATATTTTTAATTTCATGTTGTATTCTTTGCTAAGGGGAATGCCAAAAATTTGCATTCCTCTTCTACAAGAAGACTGCATATTTTCCTGAAAGAGAAAATTACTGAGGATGTCTTTATATAAAGAAATCATATAATGTTTGGGAAGTGGTGTACCGTCACTTGAGGTGATGGTAACTAAGGATATGGAAGCTACTAGAGTTATTCAAAGAAGTTCAATGTGATTTTGCCCTATTGTTATATTTTTCCTTAAATATCAGCTTATGGATACTGTTGGAAGGGTTTCTGGACTAGATCAATCTTTGTTTTTTTTTTTTTTTTTTCCTGCTCCATACCTTAAGTAATTATTTTCATATGTTCTTAACACTTTGTTTGCCTTCTCTCTTTTCCTTCCTAGGCCTCTATCTGTGAGACAGTATTGACCAGCAAAGCATTTACAAGTTGTAACATGCTTGTGAATGTCCAGGACTACATTGAGACTTGCATACAAGACCTGTGCCACTGTGACAGCTCTATGGCTGACTTCTGCATGTGCAACACCTTTGCTGAGTACTCCCGGCAGTGTGCTCATGCGGGTGGACAGCCCAAGAACTGGAGGACCTCAGATCTGTGCCGTGAGTATCTCGGGAAGGGACCTCCACCTGTGCTTACACATCTAGCAAACTTCACATACGTGAGGTTTTTTTCCTGAAGGATAAAGTTGAAAAGTGCATGCAATTATAATCAGTTTTTACCTGGTCACACACAAGACTTTGGAAATATGGAAGTTTAGGGGGTTTTCAATATGAATCAGAAAATCTAAAATGTTTCAGTCTCTGCTTGGATCAGGATACCTTGTCATAGCTTGACACAAAACAACCTAAATTGCAAAAAAAAAGTTTCCTCCAGCTTTTAAATGAAAAGCCAGATTTATAATACTCTTTCTACTTTTAGCCAAATCATGTCCATTCAACATGCAATACCATGAGTGTGGCTCTCCCTGCTCCGACACGTGCAGCAACCCGGAACGATCTGCGCTTTGTGAAGATCACTGTACAGATGGCTGTGTCTGTCCTCCAGGCAAGCTCATTTCCTGCCCTTTTCTCATACCAACCCCCCTAGAGTACTCACCTGTACACATTTAATAACTCTCTTACTCTGGATCATTCCTATCACATCATCAGCGTTATTATCGTGGAAGTAATAGCTACATTTCTCCCCTGGATGCACTATTTCTATTCAAATTACTAAATATGGCCTTTTAAACAACAAATATTCCTTGCATATATACTTTTCTAATGTATATATATAAAATCACTGAACTTAGAATAAGATAATTTGCTCCTAAAAACAGCAGAGTCTTCTATTCTCAGCATTCAAACTCAGTTCACAGAAAGTATAAAATGTTTAAGCAGATTTTGCACCCAATCATAACTCCTGCTGCTAGCAAAGCTTCATCTAGTTCCACAAATGACCAAACCCTTCTTGTCAAGTGTTATGTGTTTATACAACAAGGAGCTGACAGAGCACTAGGCAGTGTGTTAGATCTGGTCCTTTAGAGAATTATACACAAGAACCTTATATCAGTACAAGATAGATGTGTTCTTTGTGCATACTTCTGGGTCTTTAATTTTGCTGTTGTGACTGTATATCACAGGAGCTTCACCCCTTGCAGCTGTTCTGCCCATCCCCATGATGTCTCACAGAATTCACCATCACTTGTTTGTGTAGTAGCATTGACTTCTCTAAGGCAATCCTCTGTCTCTGGGCATAGAAATATTTACTGTACAGATATGTCCCTGGGCAGTCTTGTAAATGGTTCATCTATTTCAGCTCATTACCTAATAGTTTTAATCCTAATTCCATTCTAATGAAATTCGTAACAGAAAGGTATTTTCCTAGAGGTCCCTTTTGATCACGCTAAGATTTTTAAATAGATTCCAATGGAATATAGCCCTTCCATCTCCACATAGCTTGTGTCCTATTATTTTAAAGTACAGCATAAACAGGTCATAGTCTCAGGCATCTGCTAGATATGTGTTCAAAGGCAGGTTCTGCAGTGCACAGAATAAATAACAGACCCTTTCTTTCCCTAGGAATGGTATTTGATGATGTTAATGGTGCCGGCTGCATTCCCCGCAGAGAATGCCACTGTACCTATGAAGGTGAAACTTATGCTCCTGGTGCCTCCTTCTCATCTAAATGCAGATCATGGTAATATTTTCTCACTTTCTGGTTTTTTGGGTTTTTTTGGTTTTTTTTGTGCATGAGCTGAATATTTACTGATTTCCCCATAAAAAGCAAATGAGCAAGTACTTACCAATTGAAGTTCCATAATTACAGTGCTTTAAAGGTCGCTTTCATGTCTGTTTTCCCTTCACACTTGGACCAAAAATTTGAGTTTTTGAACACCTGTTCAATTTCAAGAAATACCAATGAAGGAAGATAATCAAAGTCAAATACCAGAGGTGTTTAAAAATGTGAATTAGTGCTATACTTTTGCAGCCCTACAGTGTAATGCGAATGTGCTCATATAAATAGAGCGAAGATCATGACATTTGGGGGCATGTTACATTTAGTGTGGGAGTTCACATTTGAGGGGCACGTTTAACAAATATATATTTTTTATTATCCCTATAATTACTGAAGTATTACTGCATAAGTGTATGCAACTGCACCTGCCTATTTATTTATTTTCCAAGAAATACTTAAAATATTTGACATGGATTACAAGTTCACCAGGACTGAATTCTGTCCAAAGATTGGAAATTAACAACAATATATATAGAAAGTTATCACATTAACATAAATGTGCCTGCCCCATATTTGTCTGAGATTTCTAAGCAATACTGCTTTCTTTGGCAGTGTGATCAGTGTTTCAAGAGGAAAACTAGGGCATCATCTGCTCTGATTGCCTTTTTATTTTGTTTGCACTTGCATTACTCCAATTTTACTAATGCTTCCCTCATTTCAGTACCTGTGTTGGAGGTGAATGGTCTTGTGTCACTCAGTCGTGCCCTGGGACTTGCAGTATTGAAGGAGGTTCCCACATTTCAACATTTGATGAGAAATACTATTCCTTCTTTGGAGACTGTAGTTATGTCCTAACCAAGGTAAAAATGAGTCACAATCCTTGCTAAAGGAAAATGTTTTTATTGTATATAATGTTTTTTGATGAAAACTTCTGGCAATCACATCAGTTTTCTGAGTCATGGAGGGTTAACATGGTTATAGGGTTAACACCCCTAAATGGATTTCAGGGGCCTTTCTGTTAGGGTTATACTAAATAATATTGTAGTATTTTTGTGGGGTTTGATAATTTTTTAGGATTTGCACTGAGTTTTTATTAGATTTCATAACCCTAGGTGTATTCATTGTTTATTTTTACTGAATGACTAAACTATTTACATAAAGACTTAATATTAAATAAAGTCTGCTCTTGACATGATCGATCTGATTGTTACCAAGCAAAATAATCATAAAATCTTAGAAATGAGCTGGAATGAGATGATTTAGAAATCTTATCCAAAAGTTTAAATTATTTAAATCATTGAAACTTTTGGATAAGATTGACAAGCACTGCCCTGATGCACAATGGCAGCATAGGTCAGACTTATACATTAAACTCCTCCTTTTGGCACCAACATGTAAAATTTGATTGCCAGGGTGTCTGGAGGCAGAGGAAAACCCCTAAATTTGTACACAAAAGTTCAAAAAGCCCCAGAATTTAATACTGAATTTCTAGATTGCTATAATTATGCATCTCAGCTCTCCTCAATTTAGTCTTCAATATGCAAAAAAAAGTGATAAGACACATTCAGAATTACAGCCTTCTCTGAGTCTTTCCCTATTCTGTTTTGGCCATTAGGCACACTTTGAAGATGAACACAGTTCTATGATAATCAGAACTGTGTAGAAATCTGAACCTGTATGCATTAACTTCCTGAATAATAATTTTAGTTTCATTTTCTATGAGACGATATTTAAAGAATGTCCAAATCACCAGGATTTGTCCAATCTTGAATAATCTATTCAGTGCAGAAGACATTGGAAACAATCTTTTCTCCCCCTGGTAAACCTCATAAGCAGTGGGCAAGAAAGGCACACCTGCTCTAGCATACTAAACAGGTATTGCCTACACATTAGGAACGCGTCTTACTAATGCATGAGGAAGTTTTAATGTTGAGATTAATATGTCTAACTCACCCCTGAAAGCCAGAAGCAATGCACAGCTTCCAGTGTGCAGACTGCATGAATGCCAACTTACTTGGTGATTCCAGACATATGTTAGACCATAGGAGCAAGAAGAAATGAAATAAACAATATTTTTAAAACGCTAGATTTGCTAAGAATTTCATTTACATGTGATTTTTTTTTTAATATAACTATTTCAATATAGCAAATCCTTTTAACAATATCTTTGTTTTTCTTCTTGAAGCTCTGTGACAGCAATGAATTCACAGTGTTGGGGGACATCCACAAGTGTGGCCTGACTGACACAGAGACATGCCTCAAGGGTGCGGCCATCAGCCTAAACGGAGGACAGACGGTGAGCAGCACATGTACACACCTGACATCCCACAGGGATGTTCTCTTAGAGTAACAGACAAGGCAAATGACACCCAACAGCACAGACAAGAAATTTGCACTGCCTTTTTGTTTTATCGAATTTGAACGTTATTCCTAATATTTTTAGTAATGTAAGTAAGCACATTAGAAGAGAAGATCTTATTAGCGTTCTGTTATTTAGATAAATTCTGGTTTTTGCTCTCTTGGACAGTCAGTGGAACACAGAAATAAAGATTACAGAAATAGTACAGGAATCAGAACCTCATCATAGTCTCCCTCCATTTTTTCCCTTTATCTTGAGTAGCATTGGATAGGAAACATTTGGAAAGTATTTAACTTATCTGCTTGATAATTATTGTCTTTTCTTGTGGACAGAGCATTGTGATCCAGCCTTCTGGGAGTGTATTTGTGAATATGATCTACACACAGTTACCATTCTCAGCAGGTAAGTTCCTTTGAAAAACTACTATTTCTCATTTTTATTTTAAAATGTTTTTACATGAGTTAAGCTAAAAATAAATTCTACCTATGGTTACACTGCAGCAAACCCAGAGCACTGACATAGAGCACTATCTCCCATGTTTACGTAATAGGATTTTCCTATTCAACACTAACTTCAGTAAGATCATGGTTTATATTTAGCAATATCTAATTAGTTCAAGCAAATTGTGTTATTGCACACTTTCAGATCCAAATATTGTCATAAGAGAGGAAAGAAAAATTCTGACATGCAACTGGACTCCAGTTTCTCAAGTCATTAGTTCTGTGTTCCCCTGTCCTTGTTCTGAAAGCACATTCATCACTGAAGTTTCTCACATGCCAGTTCTTCTCTAACACTACTGCACCTGAACACAAATCAAACCATGAATGGACAAATAGGTCCAGACTCCATTGGACTCTTCAATTAAATAGTGCTATAGTAAAGGCAAGGTTTTAAATAACAACAGCAGTGTGTGTTCTTCCCTCATTTTAAAACACGTGACAGAAAGTGGAGGTTTTTTATACGTTTGTTGCTTAGGTGTTTAGGTTAGACTGTTTTGGTGCTGGATTTGAAATCCTGTAAGGATCACTTTCCCCCCAGTTCTTCAGAAGCTAGGATCATATCAAACACAGCTGTAGAATTCCTTTATTATATAGTTCCTGTAATGAACAATTATTTTCAACTGCTCATCTCGAATGAAATTATAACTATTTTTTTCTTATATCCCTAGCAAACGTCACCATCTTCAGGCCTTCATCTTTCTTCATAATTCTGCAAACAAATTTTGGTCTTCAGCTGCAGGTTCAACTTGTGCCTTTAATGCAAGTTTTTATAGACTTAGACCCATCACATAAAGGGCAGACCTGTGGTGAGTGACCTTGTCCTAACAACTGCCTTCACCAGCACCTGTCATCCTGTAGGAAACTTGTACAGACCGTCTGCTTCCTTCTAGGTCTCTGTGGAAACTTCAATGATGTACAGACAGATGATTTCAAAACCACCAGTGGTGTGATAGAGGGCACTTCAGCTGCCTTTGGCAATACTTGGAAAACTCGGGCTGATTGTCCTGATGCCAAAAATACCTTTGAGGACCCCTGTACTGTCAGCATACAAAATGGTAAGCTCAGCAATCTCTTCTATTCTCCTTTAAGATGCAAAGATGGAATAAGCTGATCAAACACCAAGCATTTAGCCAAAATAACAGAACTATTTGCACATGCACACAATTCTCCTCAGTTGATACTAGAAGTCTTCAATTAATAAATAACTAGCAAAATATTTTGGATCTTCAGATATATTCCTTTGGATCAAGACAGCAAGTCAACTTACTTAAGGGAAACTAGAACCACACAGCATATTAGGGATTCATTCCTGGAAATGACTAATTGTCAGAGCTGTGCCTAGCCCCTCTGAAGGTTGCAGTACTTCCACTGCTAAACTAAGAACCAGACTTGCAGTTCAGAGACTGAAAGAATTCAAGCTGCATTTTAGTCAACAAAATATATAATTCTTGAGTATTCACCAGCTACTATTCTGTTTTCTGAGATGAACTAGCATAGTTTTAATTAACAGTGTGAACCTTCCTTTTTAAAATTCAGCTAGGGGTATCTTTAGTCTATTCCATGACAATTATAATGAATTAGAGAACATTCAGTTTACGAAGATTTCATAGGAAGTGAAAGACTATGTGCCGCAGCTAATGCAGAGCTTAATTATATTGTAGTGTTAAGCTTCTGTAATTTCTCTGGAGGAGGTATAGTTATGTTGAGACAAGAGTTTTGCAAATGCACTGCCATAGAAATCCTTCCCATGTTTTCAATTCACAGACCAGTATGCTCAGCACTGGTGTGGACTGCTCTCTGATACCACGGGACCTTTTGCTGAATGTCACTCAACAGTGAATCCAGAAGTCTACCATAAGGTATTTGGCTCTAACTCCATCCAATATAGGAGAAAAAGAATCAGATTTCTGATACTAACTCCCGAGAGAGTAACTTGCCTGTTGTGAGGAGATGCATTCATGATAGTTCTTTAAAATCCAAGGGTTCATTCTTATCTACACAATATGAAATTTCCTCCTTTGTGAAACTATCTTTCTTTCTATTCCCTGGAGGATAAGCATACAGGTGTATTCCTCCTGCACCTATTTTTAGGCATAAACTTAAAGACTAAGTTAGGAGTTTGGATTTGCTATCAAAGGATAAAAATTGTCCCTTCTGAGACATATAATGCAAGCTTTAGCCAGAATCTTAACTGGCACTTTAATTTCTCTGAACTGCTCTCAGAAGGCTTTTGTATACATGCAAGGACAAGGCAAACAATGTGCATAAAAAGCAACAATGAGAATTAGACAAGATGTGAACGAAAATGTTCCAGGAATTAAAGGTGATGAAACACTGTACTAGAGTCCTGGATACTTTAAAAAACCTTCCTGTTATTGGAAATCTGTAAGATTATGCTCAATAAACATAATCTGGAGTTAATAATATTGTATTATCCCTGCTCAGCACAGAAACCCATCAAACAACTTGTATTCTTTGCTCCTCTGCTGCAGAGAGCCTAGGCTCCTAGGCAAAAGCTCCAAAAGCTGGGTGGCATCAAATAATCTCCATTTATTCTAAATATATATGGCACAGTGGCAACAAATTTGAAGTAGTTGGAAAACTGCCAACGTGAAAAAAAAAAAGCTCAAAATAGTGGACTTCTAATTACTCTTTTTTTTCACATAATTAATCTCTTTTGAAAGAGCTCAGTGAAAATCAGGCTTATACATGGATTACACTCGCTTTAACCTCTAATGAACATAACACACTTAAAAAACTGCAGAGTTCTATGGTTTTGACATGACATTCTGGTGATCACATCATCCTCTGTTCCTAGACCTGCATGTTTGACACGTGTAACTGCGAGAAGAGCGAGGACTGCATGTGTGCTGCCCTTTCCAGCTATGTCAGAGCCTGTGCTGCCAAAGGAGTTCTTCTCACTGGATGGAGGAGCAAAGCCTGCAGTAAGTTTTACATCCCGTTTGCCTTTCGAAAATGATTGCCCAGAAGGCCCCACACAGGAGCTCTCAGGGATTCCACAGTAAATTGTGTTAAACTGGGGTTCAAGTATAGCATTGACTTTGAAGAAGCTGAGTAGGAAAGGAATGCTATAAAAGACAGCAAACAAGGAGAAATGTGAAAAACAGGCTTTGTTAGATTACTTGCTCAAAACCATCAGAAAAAACCTGAAGAGCAATACCTTTGCAATAGGAATAAAATAAGTAGGGTGTTTCTCAACTTACTTGGACAAAAAGTATAAAAACACACAGGAAGAAACATACTGTGTCATAATATAATCAAACTTCGTTCCTTTTTTTTAACATGGGTAAACATATGACGCATTTATAAGGGAAAATTTTGCTCTAGTACTACAAAAAATTACACTACTGGGGATATCAGTAAAGTATGTGTACACAAAATGCCACGTTTATCATACATACTTTATCTCAAATACTTTATACCTATGTTGATTCTTGAACGAGCAACAAATGTAACTCACCTTCTTGCTCTCAAGCGAAATACACCACCTTGTGTCCGAAGTCCCTGAAGTATACCTACAGCGTCAATTCCTGCCAGCCCACCTGCCGCGCTCTCAGTGAGCCTGATGTCACATGCAGCATCAAGTTTGTCCCAGTTGACGGCTGTACCTGCACAAATGGAACCTACATGGATGACAGTGGCAAATGTGTGCCTGCTTCTAGCTGTCCTTGTTACTACAAAGGAACGCCTCTGTCTTCTAGAGAAGTTGTTCATGATAATGGTGTTGTCTGGTAAGAGATTTGTAAAAACAAGTGAAGAGATTGGATATAGGCAGTCATGAAACTATATAAATGTCATGAAATCAAATCAAAATAATTTCTATAACAAAAATTTTCAATTAAAAAATCACAGCTTCCTAAATTCTTAGGGCTACCCACGTGAGGAAGATTGCACATAAATAACTATAGGAATTCAACAAACAGTCCTGTGGTGGGTCAGCCTTTCCTAACAGCCAAACTCCCACCCTGTCCCTTTCTCTATGCCTCTCTTCCTCCCTTGCCTCCACACATACATTTCTTATCCATGACTGGAAAAGGTTTGTTCCATGGTGAAAGATGCCTGATAATCCTGTTACAGATTATTCCCATTATATGGAAATCTGAACTATTCTGAAGGACAGCTTTAAACCAGGCATATAGACAGAGAAAACATTTAATTATATAGAATCTACATGTATTTTGTTCTACTCTAATATAGAATATTAATATTTTAAATGTGCAAACTAGTTTATAAAGGACACATTTTATTTGTTTTATCACACAGTAATTTTCCATTATTTCAAGTTCATTGGGAAATAGGTTGAAACTTAAAAACAAAAAATTTTAAAATATCCATTCCCTTCTTTTTATAGCACTTGTGCCTATGGAAAGCTGAGCTGCATTGGAGAGAAGCCTGAACCAGGTAACATATCACTTAAGATTTTCTTTAACTGTCCCTTTCTATCATCACTCTTTTAATTTCTTTATTCTCCTCATAGTGATGCAAATTGTATAAGTCTGAAATCAATGAAGAAAATTAATTGAGGTCTTCTGTAATGTAGAGGAGATTCTCAAAATATAAAGAAACACTGTCTTACCTTTCAAGTGGCTGAAACAAGTTAGAACCCCCTGGGTTACCAGGGTAAAAGGATATTTAGTCACCTCACTCAGTGTGAGAGGAAAACTATTCACATTTTAATTAAAATGTAAAAGCCCAAAACCCCAAAGCAACAAAACAAAAAAAAAAAACCTGAACAAGTAAACAAGGATATTTGTTGTCCTGCTTTGTTCTGTTTTTCTGAAAGGAAGTGTTTCATGAAGCTAAAGAAAAATTCATTTTATTGAGTAGTCCAAGCATAATTGCAAAAACTACGTAAATATGAGATCAAAACAACATTTGGTTTCTCTCTCTCACTACATGCATCACATTAAGGTACACATAATTCACAAAGGAGTATTTCCACTTTTTCTTGGAAACACAAAGATACAAATGCATCGTTGGTCTCACATTTCTCATGGCTTTTCCTCTCTTTCAGTCTGTGTGCCTCCCATGGTTTATGTTGACTGTGGCAATGTCACTGCAAATGTGGTAGGAGCAGGATGCCAGAAGAGCTGTCAGACTCTAGATATGGAATGTGTAAGTACAGACTCTTTATACCTAGTTGAAAGTATATTATACAAGATATCTCTTACAATTACCAGCTACAGCTGGATTCTTCCACCATGGGAATGTTTCAAGACATCTTTTCTTTATGGTGCTTACAGTACAAAACTCACTGTGTCTCTGGCTGCGTATGTCCTCATGATCAAGTGTTGGATGGCAAAGGTGGCTGCATTGCTCCAGAAGACTGTCCTTGTATTCACAATGGGAATTCCTACAGTGCAGGAGAATCAATCAGAGTTGGCTGTAACAACTGGTAAGAGCATATTGAAAAATAATATTTTGGAAATAAAAAAATAGAACTGCTTAAGATCTAAGCAAATAACATCATTTCACTCTAGCAGTATCAAGATTTCTAGGAAAGAATCCTGCATAAAACAATGCACTTAGTACCTAAAAAGTAAGCTCTGTCTACTTTTCTCAATGGCACAGCCCAGAAATTGCAAGTTGTCAGAAAACCACCACGGTTTTGATGTTGTCGTGTTCATTCAAGTCAAAAAATCTTTCTTCCAAGGAAATCCTTCCATTTCAATAGATCCAACAGGATCTGGAAAAGTGAAAGAATTGGTGTCTTCTGATGCAGTTGATTCATTACATTAAGTAACAGAGTCCTTGCATAAATTCCAATAGTTCTTGAGCTATGTTGCATTTTTGAGAATAAGCAAACCTCATTTTTTCATTAGAATCTTAACACACATTAAAATACAGAAATGTACCTATATTTATATTGTGTATTTGTCTAGTTTTTACATTTGGAGTGTTCTTTGTCCTGTTTAGCACATGTAGAAACAGAAAATGGCAATGCTCTGAGGAACCCTGCCTAGAAACATGTTCTGTTTATGGAGATGGGCATTATACCACTTTTGATGGCAAACGCTTTGATTTTGAAGGAGACTGTGAATATGTTCTGGTCCAGGTAAGAAAGTGTTGCCTAGACTTTTGCTCCAAATACCTTTGTTCTAAATACCTTCAATATAGTAAACAGTGAATATCATTATCGTGTTTCAGAACTACTGTGGTCAACAAGCTATGAACCAGGGAACATTCAGAGTCATCACTGAGAACATTCCATGTGGCACTACAGGAACTACCTGCTCTAAGTCTATTAAAGTTTTCCTGGGTGTAAGTATTTTCTTTAAGTTGTGCCAGAAGGATGGAACAAGCTGTCCCAGATAGACTGCATAGGAGAAGTGGCCTCCAACATAATGAAAATGTCACTGGACTCTTTTTTTGCTCTCTGCTCTAGAAAGCAAAGGTGGGAAATCTAGAAAGAAATTTCTTAACCTGAGGTTGTTGAATAGGATCCTCTTGATGATATTATTCCAAAAAGTTACTGTCAATATATACAGCTACAAAATAGTGACTTTTAAATGGGTCTCTAACTTTTTCTTCTCCTGTCTTAGAACTATGAGCTGGTACTCAGTGATGGACACTCTGATGTCATCCAGAGGACACCTGGAGGAAAAATGCCGTTCCAAATACGCTCCATGGGCATCTACCTGGTGGTGGATACTACTGTTGGTCTGATACTCATGTGGGACAAGAAAACCAGTATATTCATCAAACTTAGTCCCAGCTTTCAGGTATACTTTAAAAGTAAAAACATGAATAAAATTACTTCTGTAACATAGTCATATTATCTCGCAAAGAAAGGGAGTGGAAATTTAGGCTGTAAACCAGAAGAGCAGAAATCACATATTATCCCTGTTATGTTGACTTAAATTGTGTACTATGCATTATCCTTAAATTACATTATTCAGCAAAGGCATAACAGCAACTTTATCAGTAGCTTTCTTCATGGAAAACCCTCACTGAAGAGACAGTTTTAGGATCAACTAAAACTAAATAGCTCTGTACTTAAAACAAAGCCATCAGTCTATTTTTTCTTTCTAACAACTAGCTAGAGACATCTCTTCCTGAAAAGTGTTTTATGAAAATGTCCAACACTGTTACTAAATAGGCATTAATAATCTTATATAAGATGGTTACATAAGAGTTGTCCTGAGGTCTGTTTCTCACAGATACTAAGAAATTGTGCCTTACTGATCTTTGTCATTTTGTTTATCCTGATGCAGGACCAGGTCTGCGGACTTTGTGGAAACTATGATGGCAATGGAAATAATGACTTCACTACTCGCAGTCAGTCTGTGGTAGGAAATGTGCTGGAGTTTGCCAATAGCTGGAAAGTATCTTCTAGTTGCCCAAATGCCAATCGTACGCAGGATCCATGCACTGCAAACCCATACAGGAAAGCCTGGGCACAGAAGCAATGCAGCATCATCACCAGTGAAGTGTTTGCTAAGTGTCACTCACAGGTATGACAAAAAATTTAGTTTTAAATTCTTGACAAGATGATTCCATCCATTTTTATGTGGAATAGATTAAAAAATACTCTTACATACATTTTGTCATGCTTGACAAAGTGAAGTTCGACCAAGTTCCTGCATAGAAATACTTTCATTTTCTCAGCTTTTGTCTTGAGCAAGTACACTAAAGAAATGTATTGTTTTGGTTGGTTAGCTTGTTTGTTTTAATTGAAGGAGCAACAGTGGCTAAATCTCAAGATATGTTTATTTGGTAACAGCATAATTCTGTAGTAATACAAATATCAGCCACCTGATATGTATGACTCTCTACTAGCTTATAGTAATTACCAGTATTTTGCATATGTCTTCAAGACCAAACAGTTCTTAATATTGCAGCTTACTAGCAATAGCTTTATTCTACATTTTCCTCTTGATTTCTCAAAGCATTCTCATTATTTCTTCCTTTCTTAGCTTTCTCTAATACAGACCTATGAGTTTCAGATATCTTATTCAGCTATTTTAGGACAGGTCAAAGAAGACAAGGACATGAAAACTTCAATGTTTTCTCTATCAGGTTGAACCAAATGAATATTACCAAGCATGTGTGGACGATGCTTGTGCCTGTGACACTGGAGGAGACTGTGAATGTTTCTGCACAGCAGTAGCTGCCTATGCTCAAGCCTGTAATGAGCTAGACATCTGCATATCATGGAGAACCCCATCCATTTGTCGTGAGTTTCAACCCACTACTTTTTTAAGGGGTTCAGAGAGAAAGAAAACGGAAGGAGGAAAAAAAGGAAACAAAGTAGAACAAGAAAGGAAGGCAAAAAATTGTATTTCTAAGAAACACAGCTGTATGCTCAAAAAAAAAACCCAAACAAACACCCTTAAAAAACCCCAACAAAGCAGATTGTCTTCTACTAATTTACCCAACTATCTTAGTAAAATGAAACCACAGCTAATAATTTTACAAGCAGTGTGATTAGTGTCTAATTAACTTGACAACTATGATACAATACGGGTGAAATATGATATTTTATTACACAGCCATATGTCTACATCAGGTTCCTTGTAAATAAAAACTAGTGTACGCTAGCTAAGATCAGTGATTCAGTCAACTGATTTTTCATGTTTAATGTGTAACTGTTGGTGTTAAAACATTTTAGAAATTTAACAATTGTATTGCATTAGCAATAAAACGAGATATTGTTCGCAACCTATGAGGTTATGCTCATCCCATTGGATTTTTACCTAGAAAAATGGGAACAGTATAGAGCTAAAACATCACAGATTTTTTTTTTCTGGCATTTCTTCTTCTAGCTCTCTTCTGTGATTACTATAATCCACAAGGGGAATGTGAGTGGCACTACAAGCCATGTGGAGCACCTTGTATGAAGACCTGCAATAATCCAAGTGGGAAATGCCTTCATGAGATGAGGGGTTTGGAAGGTAAACATGATTATGCAGATCTCATTCTACTTGAAAAGTTAAAATGCAGTATGGTGAACAAAATCTGTATTACTCAGTCTATTACATGTTTGCACTAGAACTTATAAGAAGAGATTTTCTAATTAGTATTGTATTCTCTAATGGATTATCTACTTGTTTGGAATGAAGATGAGGACAAAATATTCCAAAGCATAATGTGCTATCAAAAGAATAGCAGTAAGAGGATCTGACATTCCACTTACCATGTAGCACATTTTGGGACAATCAGATATGAGTGTAGACTTATTTACATTTATGAAAGGCCTACTGTCAACTTGCTTCTCTTTTTATTGCAGGTTGCTATCCACAATGTCCAAAGAATAAGCCCTATTTTGATGAGGAAACCATGACCTGTGTTTCTTATTGTGGTTGTTATGAAGATGGAAAAAATTACAAACCAGGAATGGAGATGCCTTCAAAGCAGAATTGTGAATCATGGTAGGATTAGAAAAGAATTTTAAAAATAGAGCTTAAAATTGTGGAACACAATTCATCATGCTAAATTTGTTAATTACCAACAGCAACTAGGCCAGTAAGAGGCTGATGAACAATGTCTAATTTTCTTCCCTTCCCAGGAAATGAAATGATAGCATTAGTGAAACATTTTATTATCAAGATATCAATTTACTACTTATTTTGTATATCTATTAAAGTCCTTTAAAGTTATTATCATTATTAAATGAAGTGAAAAACAAGCTAAAATAATTTTAGTTAGGGAATAGTATGAGAATTTTAAAAAAGATATACCTAAACTCATTATGTGAAATTCATTAGAAGTGAGCAGCCAACTCATGTGCATTGTTTTGAGCTTGTTTCTGTTATTGTGTAGTTGCAACAGTCAGCACATATCCTCACATATTACTGGTGACAAGTGCTGCTAAGCCTTCTGTGAGGCTTAAGTACAGAGTTAGCAAATCCAATTGTGAAGCAGCTGTCTTAAGATACCTTCAAAGTAGCTACACTTGAATATGGTAAGCAATCTAAATAGCAAAAATCCTAAGTCAAAGCCCTTTGGAGCTAAACCAACGTCCTTGGCAGATTTTGCATTTCATAGATGCCTTGGACAATATAATCTAGGCCATTAACAGCACTAAACCTAATCCATTAAATACGTGTCTTAATTTCAGTTTATTCAATGTATAGATGTCCTTAGTGCCTGTAAATAAATACATCAAGATTCAGTTCTTCATAGATAAATTGCCCTTAAAACCGGAATTCTTCTTGCATGTTTGGGAAGCCTAACGGTAATTCACTGTGTAGGCCACCTCAACATCCATGGTAATAATCCTTTGTATATATCCTTTTAAATGCAAATCCACTGTGGTTTTCTCCTCCAAAAAACAGACCTATTGGGGAGATAGGATTTCAAATCATCCATCTCACATTTTTTTATCCTGTTCCCAAAAACACTGGTAGGGATGCTGCATGTTCTGTATGTTGGCTCAAAGAAAAGCTACCTTTCTTGCCAGAGAACTTGCAGCCTGAATATAAACACCTAGCCTCAATTTGTATAGCAGAACTGACTGCCTAACTCACACAAGATAGGATCACTGTACATTTAAACACACAGTGAATAGCAAAGGATTGATAGAAGAAAGATTATAACAAAAAATTATGTCATGAACCAGTATGTCCAGACTCATAATCTGTTTTTCTCTTTTTCAGCGAATGTACAATTCATGGCAAAGTATGCAGATATGATGAACATGGTATGTTGATGAAGTAATTTTGATATGAAGAAGACACATTTAGGGTACTCTCTGTTTCAGGTAGCAACAAATAACATCCTGTTTTAATCTACAGAATGTGTCTGCATTTATGAGGGGCAGAAGTACAACTACAAAGATGTGGTCTACAACACTACAGACGGCACAGGATGGTGTATTGTTGCAACCTGCGGGCCCAATGGAACACTTCAAAGGTTTATGTATGATTGTCTAACCTCAACGTCACCCACAACATCAACGACATTTCACTTCACGTCTACACCACCTACCACTACTTCCACAGGTACGTCCTTTGTAGCCACTAAGATTGAATTCTCTTGTTTAGTGAGGAAAATATATTTTACAGTACTAAGTGGATTGCTCAGATATTGGCATTGAGATAATGACATTTTGGTTAATAGAATTCCTGTACAGCATTCTTCAGGTTGGGAATCTCAAATTACTATGATCATATGTTGTTTTAAGAAATCAGCATTCAGTATAAAATAGATAAGTTTTGAAATTACAGAAAATACCAGCATTGCTAGAATTCAGTATCTATTTTCCATCTATTTCATAATGAGAGTTCACCCAGAAAACCTCTCCAACCAATAAATGGGCTCTTCAGATCAGAGCTAAAATACAAAGTATAGGAATGTTTGAAATACAAGAACAAAGACTGCTCTGCACTGAGTGAGGAGCCAAGATTTGGAAGAAAAAAGTAGCAATGAATTTTGATGCATACTATAAAAGTTAGTCTTTCCACGGATTTTAATACATTCCAGAGAGACTAGTATATACTGAAATAAGATAGAACGAAAGCAAATACACTGAACCAAATGCAAGCCATTGAGACTTGGGTTTTTACCAGAGCATATAAATTGTACCTGAGCCTTATTTTAGCACCTTGTAAAACATAATTAGTATTCTCTTGGGAAGTGACAGTTCCAAGCATGTCAGTACATTAAATTGCTGGGTGATGGATTTTCTGTTCTACAATTTATTACAATAAACTGATGCACAACAGGATCATAATGTAAGAAAAATGACATTAGGAAAACTGTCAGCCCATTTAAAACAAAAAACATTTTACAAAATTTTACATTTAACAAAAAAAAAATAGCATCTACAAGAATTAATTTTTAATTTTATGGTCTCTTCCTTTGCCTTTTCTCCTTCGCAGTGTCACCAACTACATCAGTATGTGTTCATGAAGTCTGTAAGTGGTCCGAATGGTACGATGGGAGTCTACAAACCCCTGGCTATGATGGAGGAGATTTTGAAACTTTCAATGATTTACGAGCAAAAGGTTATGAAGTTTGTGAAGCCCCAAAGGCTATTGAATGCAGAGCAGAAAAGTTCCCTGATATACCACTGAAAGACCTTGGCCAAAAAGTAGAATGCAGTACAACACGAGGGCTTATATGTTACAACAAAGATCAAATTTCAACAATGTGCAACAACTACCAAATCAGAATCCTCTGCTGTGTTTTTGTACCATGCTCTTCCACAACGCCATTCAGTGCATCAACCCCAGTCACATCTCCAATTCCGACAGAAACATCTACTGAAGCAACGTATTCAGTTACTACTGAAAGTACAACATTGATACCTTCACCTACTGAAGAAACAACTAGAACCACAACACCTGTCACCACATCTCCTTCTACAACTCCTCTTTGTTACAAAGAAAAATGCTACTGGTCAAGATGGTATGATGTAAGTTATCCAGGTTCAGGTTACGATGATGGAGATTTTGATACGATTGAGAACATTGAAAATAACGGATACAAAGTCTGCAACAATAGAAAGGATGTGGAATGTAGAGCAGTACGGTTCCCGAATACACCATATCCTCTACTAGAGCAAAACATAACATGTAACACAGAAGAAGGGTTGAAATGTTACAATAAAGATCAACTTCCACCAATCTGCTATAACTATGAATTAAGATTTAAATGCTGCGTGAATATCCCAGTGCCATGTGAAACAACCCCTGAAATTCTGACAAAAACAACACAACCAACTACTATTTCATCAAGTACAATATCCACAACAGAATCCACGACTCTAAGTTTGCAAACAAAACACAAAACGTCCACAGGATACCCAGTTGAACCACAAACAGATTATATACACACCAGAATAACATCAAAACCTACAAGGCAAACTCAAACACCAACTACTACAACACCAGTGCTAAGTAGCACAACCACAAAAACCACAACATCTTCACCTACCGCACCCTGTGAGCCCGAAGTGTGCACCTGGAGCGAATGGTTTGACGTCGACTTCCCCTCCTCGGGGCCCAGCCAGGGAGACTTCGAAACCTACCAGCACATCCGCGCCGCCGGCAAGCAGGTCTGCCGGCAGCCAAAGCAGATCGAGTGCC